TGAAGGAAATACTTCTGCAAGAAAACTGAAAACTCCTTCAACTGAGTTTACTTTCTGCTCTTAATTCCAGAGCAGCTCAGTTGTTGCTCAGTGTTGTGTCTTTATTTCAATAGGGTGTTAATCCAATAATAACAATAATAAAAAAAATAGGAACCAGCTAAGTCAAGATACAATCTAATTTTGTGTTTTTAATACTCTGGCTATCAGTCCCCAGTGATTGCCGAATACTCTTCAAAGAAAACAAAGAGCATTGATTCTATTTGTTCCCATAAACTGCAGTTTCTTAATAATATCAGGTGAAGATTTATTTTCTAAGGCTCAAACCAAATCGAGCAGGGCAAAACCTTTCATTCCGAGAGTCCCTCTCCCCCGTTTGCTGTATGCTGCCCGATTTCAGAGCAGCACCCTGCAACTCTTTCTGCAAAGGGACCGCGCAGACCTCGCGGGGAACCAGCCTGGCTGACCGACCGACAGGAAACACCTTTTCCCAGCAAGTTTTTATTTCCCTGGGAACCTATGATACTTTAGCCAGCATAACAAGAAACTAAGATATTATAGATCCTTTCTTCCCAGGTTTTTCCCCAACAGCCATTCAAGTGCAAAATGTAATTGTGAGGCTATGAAAAGAGATCCATAAACTTAACAGCACTGGAGTCCTCATCCTCCACTACCCTGCTTCTTTTCTATGCAATACTGGAGCCCGATGCTCTCCGCTGTTATCAGGCACTTGGCCGCGACCAGTTTGATGTAATAATTAGGAACTGACTTGTTACAACTGAAGAGACAGCTCTGATGTCAGCAGGACTTACAAACACTGTGTCACACCGGTTTATTATTTTTACTACATTTACTCATAATGTATAAATAGCAGCCAGCCTATTCTTTCTTTGGGAGTTTATTCGGGTCCGACGCAGCTATAATAGGCTCCTCTTTGAGAGCTGGCAATGAAGCATGACAGACAGCTTCTCTTTTCTGGACTCATTCATCTCTTATCAGCAACCTTTCAACCAAAAAAGGGGGGAAAGGGAGATGGGTAGCACAGCGACGCGAAGCCCCCGATCATGGATCAATGCATCTGTTAACCTGGAGTTTCTGAGCTTTAGTAACTGAGCTTTGTGAGGAAGCAAATACTAAACCTGCCGTTGAAGCAGGCATCCCTAAATTGTGGAAGAAAAGTTGGGGAGTCAAACAGAGGGGGAATTATCCAGAGCTAAATTTCTGTTCTGGATACCTGCCTCCCACCTCTTATGAGAGCTCCCTCCTGGGTCTAACGCTGAGAGAGGCTTTGACTTTTGTTTTTTTTCTCCAGTTGTCATTTTGTTTTGTAATTACTTAAGGTTTTTATAGCTCTACTGGAAAGATGACAAAATTGCAGAAATGTTGCTCTAACCTGAAATGAATACTGGGAAGGTCACTGCTCTTTGTATTAGGTGAACCTTAAATGTTATTAGGACTTTAAATTGTTTTTTATTAAATGTTATTGTTCAGATAAATCATATGTGGGGATGCTGGACAATGTATCTGTCTCCCCAGCTGTCTTATTTATTTGCTTATCTTTTTAAGACTATCTATTTGCCTGTCTGTCCCTGCTCTGTGTCTGCATATTCTCCATCTCCTAATGACCTATAGCTGCTTCTTGATATTATTTGAAGACCCATTAGAGCTCTTGTTGTCCAGCTGCTGCTACAAACCAGATACCTTAAATGGGGCAGCGCTCCTTCCCATCTCCCAAACAGCAGAAGAGCCATAAGCATCTTACTATGGATTTCTTTTTATTAAAGTTATATATCTCCTTCTTACAAAAACCTGGCTCGTGGCTCGGGAAGCCCAGCTGAGGGCTGTGTCTCCTGGGGACCCCTGTTCCTACAAGTCTTGTTGCTCCAGTGCTCCCCCCTTGCTCCCAGCTAATTTCTCTTTCCATTTGTTGCAGGTGCAGCCTGCTAATGAACTCTGCCTTTGCCCTGACCATGAACGAGAGAGGAGACCTCAGGTAGCAGCATGGCTTGCAGCTGAAGGCTTGGGGGACTTGATGCTCAGTTGCCAAAAGGCACAGTCAGACCGAAACCCTCGCCTGCGAGCGCCTCGCCACTGCTGCAAGACACAGAGGGAGAAGCAGCAAGGCCAGCGCCACCCCCATCAACCCACTGACCCCCCAGCATCCTGCCGGGACCACTGCAGATCTTGCCACCCAACGCATTTATGTTGACACCACCATCCTTTGGGAGAAAGGAATTTTAGCTCCAAAGAGCCTCTCTTGTCAGAGCTGTACTGATGACCAGATGCTATATTTATTTTGTGTACTGATGTTGAAAAGCCCCAATAATTATTTAAGGCAGACCACAGTTTAAGGCACTTTCCACAGCGACGCATTTGCAGCAGACAAGAAGGTTGAGGAAAACCTGATCCAGCACCATCTCACAGCCTCTCCAATTTACTCCTATCAAATTTCATCAACGACTCAGAACTTGATCTTTCTATTGATTGACTGGAGTCACCTCTAAATATTTTCATGCTGATTTGGAAGCCCTTTTGTATAATAAAAGAGGGGAAAAAATGAGGTTAAGGAAGACTTTTGACCGCTGATCAGCAAGTCCAGACAAAACTTTCCCAACCAAGTGATTTGCAAAGTTGGCTTCTGTGCCGAGAGAAACTTTCCACTTCCAAATACAGCGTGCAGAGTGGGATCGCTCCTGTTACCATCCGGATCTCCTTAGACTGGATCACTTTTAGATGAGGAGTTTCCATGCTGATCCCGAGAGCAACCCCTAGCCCAGTAGCTGCCTTCCTCGGGACTCTCGGCACTGCCCTCGCCCAGGGATCCCGCACTTGGCCGCAGCTGCCATGCTCTACCTGGTTGCTCTCCTCTTGCACTGTCTCCCCTTGGCCATGGGACAGTATGACATTTGCAAGTCCTGGGTGACCACAGACGATGGCCCGTCATGGGAGTTTTATGCTTGTCAACCCAAGGCCATGCGGATGAAGGATTATGTGACAGTACGGGTGGATCCGGCAGGAATCACTTGTGGGGACCCACCGGAGAGGTTCTGCACCCATGTAAGTGTTTCCCTCCTTATTTGCCATGTTATAACAGACTCTGCTTGCAGGTGGCCAGAGGCGGCGTCCTGCCGAGATGCCGTTATAAGGACATTTGGGTTCAGGGTGGCAAGGGTGGCTGCTGCCTTGAGCTCTTGGTCTCCAGGTCTGCAAAATGGGGAGAAGGGCTCCTGTCCATCCTGGTGCTGGCATGCTGAGGGGAGGGCAAGGAGGAGCTGAAGGGGGCTTAGCAAGTCCTGGTCTGGGGTGCTAAGGTCTGGGTTTTGGAAAAGCTCTATCCCCAGGAAGCACACAGCCTGAGCTGCTCTGAGCACACCTCTCTGCTTGCTAAAGCCCATGGCGTGTGTGTGTTCACCAGTCCCATCCCAAAAGGCTGCGCTGGCACCGGGGTTGTAACAGAGGCAGGTGCGTGGTCTCAGCGCGGGTAAGAGCGAGGGGCAGGGTGGCAGAGGCCGGCATGGCCCCGCTCGCCGGCAGCTCGGGCAGTCGGTCACACAGCCACGAGTTTCACCAACGTCCCTGAAAAAGCAGCTCTCCCTCTCTTCTAGCCCCCATGTGAAAAGACTCTCTGGACAGATGCTTGCCCTTGTAGTTAAAATCTTTAACTTATTTTCACTTAAATATTAATCATCGCATTTCATTCCATGCACCACAAAGCTCA